AGCATCTTTTACTGCTTCACTCTTCTATTATCTGGCATGAATAGTATGTGCGACTATAGTACCATTGTAGTTTCATTAGATATGAGCCACCATCATAGTCAATCAAGCTGCAGCAATGGAAAAACCATCCAGACGGTAACTTATCTAGAATCACAGGAAATACCGGTGTACCCACACTTTATCCGTTGTCTTCCGGCTCCAAAACACCATCCAGTTAATCGAACACAATGCGTGGAAATTTGGCGGTCAACCGAGTTTCTAGTGCAATACATGCTGCCTTCATAAAAAGTAGTTGGAATATAACCGAGATAAGATTTTTGCCCTAGAAATCAAATTTTCTGGTTTTTAAATCCAATATGGACAAGGTGGATTATGATCATTGGTGCGCCTAGGACAGAAAAGTTAATATCAACCTATTTGATAGAGATTAAAAGCTCTGGATAGATAATAACTAGGAAATGATGCGAAAATGGATTTTGAGGAGCTAGTACCCTACTGACGACTGACTATCTTTGAGATAGCAAAGGTGTAAAATAAGGGAGGGAAGAGGGATGCCTACTTTTATTCACTTTGCATGATTGAGGTATGCTAAAGGGAGAAAATTCCTTTCAGAATTGTCACCGTCATTGCAAAATTCATCTTCTGTGAAATGGGTCACCTCGATTCTTTCATTTAGGCGGAAGATAAGATGTAAGTAGGTCACCGAAAGCCACCTCTCCTACCTGGAGTGAAGGCCTCCACACTGTGACACAGATTTATTGTACCAGGTGATCAAAAACTGAGTTAAGTATATCCTTTTCAAAGTTAAATCATTTTTAAAAAATGTGTGACAGTGATGACAATTCTCAAACCTTGCTTGCCTTAGTTATTGCAGTATGTATTCCAATGCAGCGATTTTAATGTTATGCTGCTGCAATTTGTTTGACTCTGCATCTGACTTCACGGGTGCTTAAGCCTTTGCAGACCGCACTTAACCTCGCTGGCGGAATCTTTGAGCTATGCCAGTTATCTCAACTTCTCTGCACGTTGGTAACATATCACCTGTCATGCTTCTATGACTTCAGGAAAGACTTGGGATGCGTCAAAAATGTGTAAAATAACAAAAATTGCTGAAATTTTATACAAAAACGTAAAGCGCAGTTGCTTTGAATTTCAACTCAAGCTCTCGTAATTTGCAAGTGGCTTTTATAGAATGACAAGGTAATATTTGGTTTACTTAACTTAAATCCGAAAGTATATAGGACTATAATGATTAAAAATATAAAATGCTCAGGAAAAATCAGATTAGAAAAAAGAACTCGAGGCTATTTTTCTTTTGCCATAGTAGGCACGAACCCCCACTCGTGTTAAATTTGCTTCCTTTCCATTAAGAGTGGACTATGCTAGGGATTGCTTTTATTTCCTAGATGTAATGTCCAGAGTTAAAACAGCTACATACATAGCTGCCTTTATTTGGCTTAAAAACTTTGCACACGACCTCTTCTGTTTAAACTAGCAAGGATGAACCAGTATTCTCTAGGGTACGAAGTCATATTGTCCAACAAAAATGTGGAACAGGGACAGCTCTGTCAACATACTTCTGTAAAAATTTGCCACCAGGAATTGGTTTAAGGGATTGCGGAGACTTTTCAAGAAAATCCATTTACAATAACAAATTTTTTGAACTTTTTATACTTTTATCTTTCGAACCAAATATTTGTTACTGCAGCATATCCACTGAAGATTTGGAGTAACTGTTCTTACAAAAGAACAATTCAAGTCACTTAGGCAGATGGTCAACAGGTGAGAAAAGGAAGAACAAATTAGTGGTCAGTAAGACTTATTGCCACCTCTCAACATTTTCTACTACTCTGTCCGTTGACCAAAAGTCATTGGTAAGGCAATCCCCAATTCTTGTGCTAGGTACTCGGCAATAAACTTCAACAGCCATGAAAACGAGTTAACCTCGATTTTGAAACCAGACATGCTGGAATCACGCCGATCTATTCAACACTGATGCAGGCTTAGCATGGCAGGAAGATGTAAGAGGATCCAGTAACCAAATCCAGCACAGATGGACTAATGCGTATCTGTCCAATCACTCGCATCTGGGCAAGTTCATACTACTTTAAAAGTGTCGTTGCAGTGGGTTACATCGGAAACCAAGTGGTAGCTCTTCGTCACCATATTTGTCTCATTAATGGCAATTAATACTTAACTGTAAGCATTTTTTCGAAAAAATGAGTCCTGAAGGATCTAAATTTGGAAAACTCTTAATTACATTGGTTCTGAAGAAAAATATATACCAGAAAAGTTACCAGCGTCATTTTTTATTGGGCTGTAGAAGCCCACTGGACGTTACAATACAGTCATCGGTTGAAACTAAACTCGGCACTCATCGAAATCCACGAGGTATTCCTTTAAAGATAGGCAGGATGTGCTCTCTGCCTGAGGTAAAATAGGAGTCTGCTTCTTGTTCCACACGGCTGATGGCCAGATGAAAGGAGACGATAAGACAGATTGGCATCCACCTACATCATTAATTTTTGGGGATTCCTTAGTCCCATTTTTTTCCACTATCCACTTTACTTCACGCATCACTTCCTTCTCTATAATGACTAGATCCTTTCCAATGCTCTTTCACCCTCTCCATAATGCAATTGACATGTCTGACAGTTTGCTGGCATCCGAAAATGCAGGTCTGAAAGATGCACCGTCGAAAGTGACGAGGCATTTAAAACCGGAAAAGGCAAATCACATGCCACATTTCATTGTCCTACACATTTATAATCCCAAAAGACTGTGTCTTATTTGCACGTTATAGTGAAGCAAATTATAACTTTGTCTCCGATGTAAAAGACAAATAGATGGTAAAATTTGGGAGTTTATTGCAGTGAAACGAGAATAAGTCAAATGCAAAGTAGATAATGGGACCATGTAAATAAGAGCCATCTTTGGTTAATGTGGTGGTATTCTTAGAGATTCGCCAACTTTGGGAAGTGTGGTTTTGGAAGTTTTAATGGCGAGATGCACTACGACGGGCCGCTGACGTTATTTTCCCTAATCATTAAGGCTCTGCAACTGCTGTCTTACTCCATTGGGAAAAAGAAATGGATTTCCTTCATCACTACCTTCATCCATTCCCTTCCTACCTGCTAAGTAGAGAAAAAAAGCTCTCTCAAAACCATCTTTGAGTTGATTAAAAATGCTTGCGGCAGGCACAGAGCCCACCTGACGTCTAGTTGACCTCATGGACGATTCCCAAACATTCTAAACCATTGCGATCTCGTGCAATTCCTTCTAAATGGTAAATATCACTTTGGATAGACCTTATTTGTGCTAATAATCACCAGAATGTCAAGACCAATGAAATGTTACAGATGTGAAAGGCTGAAACCAAGTGGTGCCTCCGGTTGTCCCCGCGGGACAGCAATCAGATGCGTACGCATACGTTACAACATCCCACTGACTTCTACCTGTTAAGGAATAAGAAGGTCCATATTAAAGCCTCTGACTCTGATCACTCTGGACAAAAGTCGATTGGATCCGACTTTACGCGTAGTTTCAACTGGACGGTAGTGAGCTTGATATCAGATCCGATTTAGCTAACACCTCAGTGTAGACAATTCTCCTGGGGAGAGACAATTTTTGGCAGAACCGTAAAAAGGGAAAAAATTCCCTCTTGGGTTACTCCCAAGGAGAATCAAATATTCGCATTAGGGGTTAAAAGGCATTTATAGTGCCCGGTATGACTCCACACTGTCGCAGTGTCGACCACCTAAAGCATATCCCAGAAAAAAGAAGAAATTATGATTTGGTAACATAGAATCTGGAGAAATCATATAGTCCTGCCTGATACATTTCACGCTTTTACTCTTTTTTCGTCCTCCGTTTATCCTCCTCTTAATGTGCACAAAACTGTCTTTGTCTGTAAATGGATGTTAGTCTATCTCCATTCTTCTGAAGCATGCAATTCATGCAGTAAGGGTCTAGGGAGGACTCTTGAGTGTTACACTATCCCATTATTGTTCATTTACTGGAGTTGAGCGTCGCAGACAAGTATGTGACACTTCCGACATCCTCTTTTGTCCACTCGAGTGATTTATGAATACGTGAATAGGAGAGGAAGCAATCTCTGTCACGGTAGCTGTCTCTGGTTTTACACAGCTAATGGGGATGATTGTGGGTCCCAGATTTATCACAAGCATTCATTCTTTCTTTACCATATTTCATGTCCTTTCCACTAAAAGTGTCTATTACATTCAACGAAATTGTCACCTTTTCAAAATCCGGAGTCTTGAACTCTATTTTTTCCGAAAAATGTAGAATATATAGTGAATGCGTGTGTAAAAGACGTCGAACCGTATTTGACGTTTATCGAGAAGACATCTAAGAAGGAGGGATTAAATTGGAGCCACCGAATCATGTCCTGCAATTCGCCTTGACAAACCACTGCAGAGATTTATGCATTAGTCTTCCTTTGAATCACATACAAATGCTGATTTTAGTACAAAACTGAGACATGGACCTTTGCCAAAAAGTACAATTAAAGCAGTTCCTGATTGTTAGTCAGTTCTACAAACGTCAGATGGCGGCATTTCTTTTAATTTTTCCCTTTCAAAACGAAATGCTTCTTTTGTGACTTTTAAAGACAAGAATTTAGAATTTGTGACCAGGTTTCCCTTGCCGTTGATAACATCTTGTTGTTAAATCCTTTGCTGGGGAACTGAGTGATGCTGTCAACTCATTTTCAATTGATTTACCACTTCTATTTCAGAACAGGGAAAGGATTTGGTAGGTTTGCTAGTCATCACGCAAAAGTTGACATTTCCAAGAACAAAGACCCGTCTAGAACATGAATTAAGGAGTATGACTTACTTCTTTCAGAAAAGAAAAAAAGGTAGGAAATAAAAGCGGTTGTGGAGGGTCCTTAAAGAACCTACCTCTCTTATTTTCGTAATTGTTTTTAAATGCCACGGGTAAGAAGAACTTCAGCTTTAATGCGAAATCGAAATTAATGGCGACCACTGGAAAGCAACTGTTTTCAGATGCGCTGGAAAAGGTAAAATGAACTGGATATCACGCACTTTCAAAATCAGCCATCATTCGCTTCATACAAAGGACTCTTTTAATTACTAAACTGTAGTGGCAACTTCTTCGGATTGCTTGGGTCGTAAATTGCCAAATTTCCTTCTGCAAGCGTAGCTAACATTCAGTGTATGTCTTGTGAAAAGAAGGAACTTGAATCCAAAAAAACTCTTTTAAATGCCTGAAATGTAAAGCTTGGAGATGGAATTGAAATGGAACCAACACTTGATTTCCCCTAGAATGTTATTTCCACGGTCGTCAGAAATGACATGGCAATCAAATTTCTTTAGGGATTTCCGTTTTCACACTGTTGGGAATCTAGTGAATTGAGACAATCTAGGAAGGATTTGAAGAAGTTCGACTTCTTCTGTCTGCCAAAGCAAGCAAAGTGAAGCCAAATCAATTCAAGCGCTGACAAAATTATTTTTCCATCGTTCCTTTAAGGCCAAAAAGCTAGTTATAAGCCTAGAAATCCTCCGACAACTTGTTCATTTATTTCCACTACATCATGAAGAACAAAGGGGGATTGAAATAGGAGCAAATCTGTTTTGAATTTGAAATAACCAATGTACACTTCTCTTTTGTAACATGAATCAATTTCTTCCAAGCATCTGCCATCCATGTCGAAGTGGATCCCCTTCGCAGAGGACGAGAGGCCGCTTTTATGTTCAACAAAGAAAAGGCAATGATCTTTTGGTCACCTTAAAACTTGCAGAAGGGATGTTAATCTAGCATCATTTTAAATATGAATTGAGAGTATCAGAGAAGGCAATGCTTTGTTTCTTTTATCACCTCTAAGACTCAAATACATTAAAATACAGATGAGCTGTGGGGTTTTCAATTACACCTGCTTTTCCACCACCACGTGTCGAGGATCCATTTATTAAATCCTTTAAGACCTTAATATTCTGAAGCAGTCCTCCGGAAAGTGGAGTGCTAGTGTAGCTAAAACTATACTTTTGATTGCTCTGTTTGGTTTATTTTCTACTTTTCTTTTGAAAACGATTACCAAACAATGCTGATGACTGAGGGAAAGTGGTGAAATTCATTTGCAAACCTGATTTTGCTTGCTGTTCTTAAAACATCTGCAAAACCTTAAAGCACACCCTCCAAAACCTGAGTCAACATCCCCAAACTTACACATTTCAAAGCTGTGTTAAAAAAACTGCCAATTTAAAATTATCACACTTTCACCCTTCCCAAACGTTCCACAACTACTTTCCTGCTAGTGCTTTCATTACTTTTTTGCGTTTGGCTATTATGATTAGGAAAGACTTTAAGTGTACTAGGATTTACAATGTGGCCAAGGCCAATCCAAGTCCTTTAAAACACGGGAGAACAGATCCACCCCCACCACCTCTCCACCAGTCAAGTACGTCCATACATGTCGTACTTCCAGCTTACTCTTGTCGTCAAATCAGGACATCCGCACTGGAGTCTTGTCCTCCTGACTATCCTGTTTAGAACCTTAATGATGGTCGTGTTCACGATCGTAAGCAGCTGCTCTAGGCACTGATGTGAAATTATATTTTTATGGTACATTTTATCTTTTCCTCAACCAGAGCTGGAAACGTCGTACTCCTTCAGGGTCGCAGATTGCTTTGTATTGCAACTATTCTTTGAAAACAATTTAACCAGTGTTGCGTGTAATTTCCTTTTCGCCACTTATCACTTACAGTAAAAGCCAATCTCACGGATCCCTTCCATTGCTTTCGTAGATAAGTAAAATCATCATTTGTATGTCGCTACAGTTTAGGCAGTGGTAAGCAAACTCGATCCAAATGAAGAGGAAATTCAGTGTCTTCACTTGGACGCTAAAAGTGACAATGCAGAAAGAGGCCACTTACAGTGGATGACTGCAACCAGGATGACTGAAACGGAGGTTAGAACGGAGCAATTCCCACTACTGATAGTGGTGCCAAACTCCAACGCTGTTATATGGCTATTAGCGAATGCAGAAACGTCAGCTCTTAGCAAGCAGTCAGCATCTACTGTAGAGTTGTCTGCATCATTTACACGAACCATGTGCTTAGATGCACTTCCATCAGTGCTGCTGAAGCAGAATACCGCCTAGATAGACGGCTTGACTACATTTCAGTGACAATGAAATGACACTGGGGAACCATTGATGGGTGAAAGTTTCACAGAGTTGAATTTTGCAAAAGGAGCTGTGTAAATGTTTTGGAACTTTACAAATGACACAAAAAGTGTGCTCGTCGTTCGGCAAAGACTACCCCTCAGAAACACAAAGTCAGTGAGGCTCCCTGACACAGCTAAAAGGGAGGGGGCAACTGTAGATTCATTGTAGGCCTTAAGGTATATTATTGGTTGTTGCAGGTCTAATGGCTTTTTATCTTCGTGGAAAAGTGGTTTTACAAAAGTGAGTGCATTGTGGATAGCTACTAAGATATACTGATCACAGGGGATGCCAATGACATTGCCTTAAATAAGACGGGGGTAAGCAGCAAGATTAGTTGTGGGTCTCAGTATTTTCAAATGCTTTTTTGATGTCCTAAATTCCTTTTTGATTCGTTTTAGATGATAGCTTAAATATCCTCCATGACATTGGGAGTCGAGCTACATTCATATGCGTTCTTCTGATAGGAAGCAGCTAAACTTACGAAGATGTGCAACAAAGAGTACGGCAAAATTAACGATGTCTCTTTGTAATCAAAATTTAAAAGCCACTTAGTGACAGAGTAGGTTACGTCGAAGTAGAAGCCGTGAGGTAGCATGCAGGAAAGATTTTCTTGTGTAGGAAGATGCTTTAAAGAGTGTGGAAAGAGGGTTTGACAACATGAAAAATTGGTAAATGATGGCCAGAAACAGAAGTGTTAAATTTTTGTGAGTGTTAACTGAAGAACTTCTAGTTTAGTATATGTTCAAGGACGTAGCCTTTAATCCTGAGGGCTCACAACTTCCAAATGGTGTGCTATGTCAACATTAAAGTGCCTTTTTCAGTAGCTACAAATCAGGAAGTACCACTTGCGCAGATGTCTCCTGAAAGTGTCCCGGATTATATTCATCATGTATGCCAAAATCCATCCCTCTGCTTCCACCATGCTTTGTGACTCGATGATGTTGATGGCCTCTACACGGTATAAAGTGGAGGGAGGAAGAGAGAACATGCAGCTGTGCAGATGGGGTTGTTCAAACAAAGGGATTTGTTACGCACACCCGAAGGAAGACATTCACACAGATATCCTGCTCACCACAAGGAATGGCGGCAAATTTGACAGCTTTTTCGCAATGTAACCTCACTTGATGCTTCCTCTGGCTACATTTACAGCGATTCCAAAAAGGTCTTGGATGCATTCATTTTAAAGATAAATGACTGTGCAAATAAAAGCTTAGTGATGGCTATTTAATGAAAGCTTAACACGCAGATGGCCATATTAATAACCACCTTACCTGCGGTGTTTTTTACTCACGCTTGTAGATGTAAAACGAGCGGCACACTACGAACTGGGACACAATTTTGTAGTCAAGAGAAAAAAAAGTTATCAAGACGATGTTGCACACAGTAGTGATTGTCTGTTGTGCCCTATCAGTTATGGGTGCTAACAGGCGGCACACATGGCGTGGGTCGGCCTGATGGTCGGTCTCTTGTCCAAATACGCTTTTCAAGATGGTAGACAACAGTGGTAGTGAGTGAGTGCATGAAACAGCATATGTTGATGTACTAGCCTTGTCCTTTTTAGTAGATAAACATTTAAATGGTGATGATATACTCATGCTCAGTGAGGTATCAGACTAGTGCAAAACAAGTCCAAGACGAGTGGTTTCGATAACATTTCTCTGAGCAGGCAGTGATTCATTTGCAGTACTATGACAGTTTGTTTGACTCTGTGTTTTTTCGAGTGGATACCGAAGTCTCCGCAGCTTGCACCCCTCCTGACCATGCCAGCGGCCCAAACTCCTCCGCACATCGGTAACGCACTTTCTGTCACACTCTCATGACTTCAGCAAACTCAAAAATCACTTGGCACATGACAACAATTTGAAGCCTAAAGAATGTCTGAAAAAGAATGATAAAGCGTAAATGCCACGAAAGACAAAATCAGAAAAGTATGCGAGAGGAGGTTAAATACGCTTGATTTTAAATGCTTTTAAGTAAATACAGCACAGATGGAAATGTAGGAATGGACTCCCTGTCGTAAAAAATTCACTCCCTACCCTTGGATATTGGGCCATGTTAATGATTGCCTTTGTTTCCACAATTCGGCGTCAAGAACTGAGACAACCAAATGTATACAACTGCTTTTGCGTTAGGAAAAATTTTGAAGTAGGAAGAATGGACAAAAAATCTCGAGAAAACCGAGTCATGCTATTCACTAAATAACGTGGAAGATGGACAGTCTCTTTACTTTTTCATCCGTAAAAAATTGGAACCGGAAGGTGTTTTTAAGGATGGTGAAGATTTAAGGGAAAACCAAGCATACTTATTTTCTGATATCGTCATTTTTTCTTGTAGAAAAACATTTGCTCTTGCGGCATGTCCCTTGAAGAGTTTGAGTGACATTCCGAGCGATAGGGGAACTCACTCAGAGAATGAAGCCGAAGAGGGAATAGTGACACCTACCCACTAACTTGGGCTTCAAAGCTGAGTAAATCTGGAAATCGTAGGGTACATTTTATAGGTTACACCTTTAATTGCCTTATAAAATAAAACATTGCAACCCCATTTCAAGGAAGCAAATGCAAGTGATCGCTCAGGCAAAAAATATCACCCATGTGCATTACATGAAATTTCACGTAGTGGATTTTGGTGGCCAGATATATCGCCGTCAAAGCTAATGTTTCTTAACTGCGACCCCTTTTAAAAATAAATTCTAAGAATTAAATCCGCTGCAAAACAAATTGCATTAAGCTGGAGAAACTCAGCGAAACTTCGCAATGAAGTTATCAATTGGAAATAAACCCCACAATCGCCAAAATCTGCTCGATTTTTCAACAAAAAATAAACAGGACTTTCCCTTACCTTGATGAAAACTGGACGTTTGCTCCTTATTCACTTTTGCAGACTCCTCAATCCTTATTTCTTTTAGTTATCCGGTCTAATTCACTTACTGCTTCCATCTTTAAATTAAAGTGGACCGTTTCGGAGATGCTTTCTTTCCTTATAAGGAAATTGACATGCCTGGCTGTTCCTACTATCCAGAAACTCAACTTTTTTCTGTAACATAGCAAAAGCCTCTACAGCATCCATGAAAAATGCATCATCAAGGAGTCAAGAGGTTCAAGACTGGGAAATGCAAACCACACACCACTCTCACAATCCCTCGCATAAATCGAGGAGACTTGGCTTTATTTGCACATTAAAATAGAGTTAAATAAAACAGTTGTAATACGATAGTGGTTTATCCCTCGGTATTAACGAGGCGTCACTTTTGTACTTCGAATTTGCCCTCTTGTACCTCGCTGGGTGGGCTGGCCTTTTGGACCACGCCAATAGCCCAGACACCTTCTCCGTGCTGAATATATATATTCTGTCCGAGTACTTTGTCTTCTTCCGTATTCAGGGAGTCTCGGGACGCTACACGGTGGCTGATCTCAAAAATACATGGAGGCCAAAATTTTGAAATTTATTGCTGCGAAACGTGAATTCGTTTGATTAAAATGATAGAACGATATTACGTAATTAAAAGAGATATTTGTAGTTAATGTAGTGGAATCCCCACATTCAAATATGGCACTGCAGTAACGTGAAGCAGAATAAGGTTTTTTCCTCTGGAGATTCCAATGCCTGTGCCATTTGCGACTTGGACTACTTCAATAATTTGTTCAGGAGGATGCGCATGATCAAGATGAGGCACAGGTATTCCACTTTCTCTCCCAACCGGCAGACAAGTTGCAACACAGACGAGAGTAGAAGGGGATTAGCTTCCGCAAGGCGAATACCCACTTACAGCAGCGTTAATATGAGCCTTCGGGCAAACAAGACTTGTGGACAACTTCCGTGTGGTCCTGTATGACTAATCAAAAACACCGAAGGTACTTTTTGGGGAAAGTTAAAGTTATGACTTTAAACATAAGGCCGTTTGTCAGTTGGAGGTGTATGGCACAAAAGACATGCCATTCACTGTTTTTTTTTCTTTGAAGCCAAAAGTGTGTAATTGGCGATGGGTACAAGTCATTTTAAGATTATTTCGTCGATATAAAAGAGCACATTATATGGGACAAATGCAAGTAATTTAATGTAACCAACTTACCGCAAATCGTCTACTGCGGTCTTTGCATTTAACATCATTAATGTCGACCCCGAAACATCTCAAAGCAGTTCGTGATCGGCCATTTCCTTGTGCATGTCACACTTCTTCAGTTTCTTCAAGATCGTCCCTCACCCTTCCACGAGTCTCGTAGTCAGGTGATGCCCCTCAGCCCAGCCTGGAGGTGGTTAAAGTGGTGATGGGAGTAGAGGATAGCTAAAAAATCCATCCAGATCGTCTCTTGGGGTAATAAAGCGCTACTCAGGCCCTGTTTTTTTTGTAATTGGGGATGTATGATCAAAGAAATTTGGTCTGTGCATTATCAAATTACAAAGAGGATGACTTGAAACCGCAATTGACAATCATTAGACTTTTGCCCTTTCCACGAGCACTTTTTGACAAGCACTAAATCCGATCCCAAAGGTTTGTAGCCTTTGCAAAAATGCGTTTTAAGGAGCTTAAATTGCAAGATGTTTTAGGCTGCGCCGTCGATGTCGCTTTCCTCACTCAGTGAAGACCTGCGTTTACCACTGTTCCGTTTTGAGGGCATAAAGGGGAT